GTGTCTTTACTGTATTCAAAATATTTTTTCAGCAAATAAATGCAAGTCAATACTTAAATACACAGGATGATAGAGAATTCCGAGCTCTGTCAGAATATATAATTACTTGCCTTAAAATGTAGTTTTATATTGGTGATATAATTCTACTGATCCAAACGCTCAGAACTTATGTATCAATGCAATACTAAACTATTCTACACTTTTCTATTACTCATTAAATGAACATTGTCTCATTCAAAAAACAAAAGAATAATCTCGACAATCAACATATGTATATGAGTATAGATAATTGACTAGGTTTGAATATTTTTTATACTATCTTTAGATTTATCAAAAGATATTTGTTGTCATTTTAGACAAATTGTTCTCTATTTAGATAAATTTTATTATTCATATTCTATTTAATACTTACAACTTAAAAATGCAAATAATGCTGAAAAGATCATAATAGATATTAAAGCTCCTCTACACATAAAACCAACACAAGTTGATAGAAGTGATAAACAACCTAATATTAATCCAAATGGTACAAGTACTTGTGCAACACGAACAAAACCTATCAAAAAAAGACATAAACGTAGAATAATTCTTACAAATAAAATGATTATAAATTATACTTGGAGCATCATTATTCCATACTGTACAAATAAAATCATTTGAATCAGTTGAAAATATACATTTATACCATAAACCAAATTTTTTTAAAAGATCAAAATTTTCATTTGATAATTTATTATCTAATAATTTATTACGTTCATAAAATTGAAGCCAATCAGGTACAGAAAATGATACCCAACCGAATACAAGACTAAATATAAGACAACTAGCACCAACAGAAAATAATATTCGTGCTAATATTATGTGCTGATACATTTAAATATTAATATTTTGTTTAATAAAATAAAATAAAAAATTTTTTATCAGAAGATATGAATTTAAATATAAAAAATATCTTGCATGTATATTGTAATATGTAATATAATATATATATGTATATATATTATTAATAGTGTTTCATTCAAATGGTAAAATGTAATATAAACGATAATGTCGAGACGTATTAATGATCGGACAACACGTTCGGTCAATCCAATTATTGCTTCACTAACTTTGAGCACAAAAAAACGAACTATAACAGTGATAGATAAGATATTAAATGGTCACACATAAATGAGCAAAGATATCTCATCATTCTCCTTTCTCTTTCTTTTGTTCAATAAATAGACGAGACGCAAATCTTCGCTCCCTCCTATTCGTCTCAATTTTGAATGCGCAGATACAAGTATGCTTATACAAATGTTTATCTAAGCTAGATGCACCCCATCGATTATCACACACAAAAAAACACGTTCATGTTTTTTTTCTTTCTACCTTACTTTCGTTTATATCTATTTTGATATCGAATGATCGTAGCAATGAGGAGACACAACCTATTAAATAGACTATTGGTCTACTCTATTGTCACGTTCATTGAACCGTTGAATTTTTTTTGTCCATTTTACTGTCATCATCTTAATGTTAACGTTTCTTCGTATGAAAAAGTCTTATTAATATACGACAAGAATATAAAAAAAGAGCCCAATTTGTTTATTTGCGTACGTAAAAAAAAAGAAAGAAAAGAAAAGATTACATATTGAACAAGATACAGTTTTTCTGTGAAATTAATGAAACATTTCACGGTAGTCAAATTGATACACATATTCATATAGAGACAGTCTTTGTACTTTATTACGTCACCATTAAAATTATTACACATTGAAAATAATGACATTGAAGTTGTCAGTTAATATGTAATATACATATATATTATTTTAGTTAAATGAACCTTAAATTTCTTGGTGCATTTAAATGGCGACGGTACTTTATTGTTTTAAATATAGTTACTACACTTATTTGTGTGATTGACACACATACGTATATAACATTGTATAACTATGAAGGGTATGTTTTAATTAAAAAACTATCATTAAAACATCTATACAAAAAAAAAATTGTGATAAATGAAGTTTTTAAACAGACCTATTAAATCTCAACTTCAGAAATCAGTTGATTTATTGTGAAAAATCGCGAGTTTATCAGAAGATTTATTTCTTTTTTTTTAAATCAAAAATTAGAAACATATGTAGCAATTTTATTTCGAAGAATAATTAAATGATGTCCATTTCGATCAAGAATTTTTTTAACTTTGTTATATAAACTTGATAGTGGACATATTTCGTTAGAAGTTATATAAAATGAAAAAAAAAAGATGACCATTAAACTTGATGTCGTCATTGAATTTCATCGTTGTTCGAAGAACTATCAGAACTTAAATTTTCACGATTTATGTAAACCATAAAATTTATTTAGATTAATCTATTGATGGCATATAAGGCATTTGATTCGTTAGCTCCAGCCAGATGTCCACTCTTAGCATAATTCAATATTTTATAGTTATTGAAACGCCTTATCTATGGCATATAATGAATTATAATTGAAACTAATTAATTCAAGTGACGAAAGAATCGAATTAGTAAAAAATATACAATCCTGCTATTGTACAAATATTTTAATAATCTTACTAAACTGGTAATAATTCTCAAAAATTAAAGTCTACTTAATCTACTAACATCGAGAAATATAACCTGAGAATTTTCGGTTGTCATACAATTTCGTTACCGAATTATTGAATTTTTACAAACAATCTATTTTTTTTCTTCTAACTAACAGTAGAGTATTTTCAAAAGAAGCTTTTTTCCAGTTCTATCTATTGCAAAAGAAATTGATTCAAAAAAAAAACAAATGAATATTATGAATTCAGGAATTATATTTTCTAAGGAAGTAAATCTTTTTTTTGACTACCGTGTATAATTTTTTTTATTAACTCACAATATCTCTAGAAGTTAAAGTCAAAACCTGGAATTAGGATATATGGTAAACCTGATTTTGTGAAACAGGACCTAAAAGAGGTGTTGAAGTATAGGTGTAAAAATTCAGACACCTCCAGAACTAGGCATAGGACAGGACAAACCTATAATATACGTCTTGTTCTGTCGCCCACTAGGACGGACAGGGATGTGGCATGCAGGGGGGGGGGGGGGGGGGGGGGGGGCCCCCCCCCCCCCTTTTTAAAAACCGTATATGCATCTTTTCAATTCTCAAAAAATTTCCTTCCGCCCCCCCCCCCCCCCCGCCCACTTTTTTCTCTTTGTCACACCTCTAAGGACGAAGATAGCAGAACAGAACAGAAAAAGTTGTCCTGTGTCCAGCTCTGAACCACTCGGGTTACATGAATTCCAGCCCGTGATCTCATTGACTCCTAAAATGAAAAATTTAATTTTTTTTTTAACTAGTTGCTGGATATCGTAATACTCAGCAGGAGGTCATAATAGGTGTGTATGTCAATTAAGAGAAGACTCAGACTCAGATACCCAGACCCATTATGACTTCTTGCTTAGCACTACGATATGTAGCAACTAATTAAAAAAAAATTTTTTTAAAGGGTCAATGAGGTCACGGACTGAAAATTCCGATCTTTCAACCACTCTACGTCACGCGCCGTTGCAGATGCTCACACAATGTTTATCAAAAATGTCTCGTTATAATATCTGAATAGATGTGTAAGTTGATCGTCTGAGCCGTCACCGCCAATGCTCAAGCAATTCAGCTGTGTCATCGCTATCGTGACGACACAAAAGTAGATATTTGATTTTTAAGAATTTCCGACGTTCTAAATCAAGTTTTGAAAATACTAGTATCTTGTCAGTAAGTTCTTTATCATTATCTTCTCTCTATTTCTTGATTGATAACATTTTTATTAGAATCTTTCAATTGTAAGAACAAAAAAAAAAAAATAAATAATAATAGAAGAAAAAAAATGACTTGTTTGTTTTTTTTTGTACACATCTGACACAATAATAAATCACAGTAAACCAACATTTCCTGCTTTATTCAAAAGACTAAGAACCATTTTATGTGCTTGTTCTTGATCATTGATTGATTTTAATTTTTCAAGTTCATTCCAAATTAAATCAACTGATTCCTACAAAAAACAAAAAAATCTAAATATATAATTCTTTTAAAATATCATTACACTTGAAGCAAATCCATGTCCAATATTTTCTTTTCTATTTTCATTACTATTAAATTCTTCTAATTCTTGTGCACGTTTTTTAGCAAATTCAATAACATGTTCTGGAAATTGTGCTAATTGTGCTACATGAATACTAAAAACAAAAAAAAAAAATTTTTTTTCATTGGAATATTATCTTATTATTAAATATATACAAACCCAAAACTTTGATCACATACACCAGGTTTTAATTTATAAAGTAAAACAAGTTGATCATTAACTGGTAATGCATCAACATGAAAATTTTGTATTATACCTGGTTGTTCTTCTTCAATTGATGTTAATTCATGAAAATGTGTTGCAAATAAACAAAAACATTTTATTGTTGTACAAATATAATGTGCAACAGCCCAAGCAAGACCAAATCCATCATAAGTTGACTAGAAAAAAATCAATTTTAATAAAACGATTTATTTAAAAAAAACATTATTTTTGAAAAAAAAATTTAATTTAATAAACTTACTGTTCCTCGACCAAGTTCATCAATAATTAAAAGTGAATTACTTGTTGCTATATCTAAAATTGTTGACATTTCTAACATTTCAGACATAAATGTTGAAACACCAAGAGATAAATCATCATTAGCACCAAGTCGAGCAAGAATACAATCAACAATAGTTGTATGACATGAAGTACATGGTACAAAACATCCAACTTGTGCCATTAATTGAATAACGCCAACCTAAAATAACCAAAGATTCTTAAACTTTTTTCTAAATAAATTGGTTGTTTTTTTTTCTACCTGACGTATATATGTTGATTTTCCACCCATATTTGGACCTGAGAAGAAAAAAAATTAATAATAAATATTATCATAGGATATTTTACCTGTAATTATTTGAAATCGTTGTTTATTTCGATCTAATTCAACTGTATTTGAAATAAAATTAATATTATCTTGTTTTTCAACACATGGATGACGTGAATCGATAAGATGTATTTTTTGTTGTTCATTACTAAATATTGGTCGTATATAATTACCATTAACTGAAGCTATTGCAAATGATACAAGACAATCAATTTGAGCTAGAATTCTAATTATAAGAAGAAGAAAAAAAATAAACAAACATCGACTACATTTCAAATTATTTAAACTTACTCAGCTAATTGACTAAGTGAATCACAATAACTTGAAGCAATATTTAAAACTTCATCAATAAGTTCTTTTGATGTTTCATTATAAGTTGCATTAAGCATAGAATATTTTGTATTAAGATCATTCAAACGTGATGTTTGAAAGAAGATACCTTCTTTTTTTGTTACTTTTATTGTTATATTAGGTAATTGTTTTTGTAAAGTTGCACTTTCTTTACGATTTATTCGATATAACCATCCACCTTGTTTTGGATCATAAACTAATCGTATTGGTTCACGTGTTGTTTCATTTCCATTCTTTTTTGATATTGATGAACGACTTGGTGTTGAAGATAAATATGAAGATAATTTATCACATATAGATGATAAATCATCATGCATTTTTGATTCTAATTCATCTTGTTTTTTTCGACATTCTAAACAAAAGAAAAAATAAGATCGATTACTATCATCACGAAAATACATGACAGATGATCACTTTTTCAATAACTTTCAATAGACATCTATAATTTCTATCATTGGAAAGAGAAGAATATTTTTATTGTTCATCTATTGACTAATCAGGTGAGTTCGTAAGCTATTGAGATTTGATCTGTAACAGAGACCGACACAGGACATTTTTTTTTGCCCTGTCCTGTCCTCAGAGCAGGGCTGGGCAAGACAGGGCGGTCTGAAGAGTTTTAGATTGATTCTATATTCCGAAACAAAATTTATAACCTGAAGAAGATTTAAAGGCACTTTTTCTTTTCATTATACATACTTTAAATCATTTCAAAAATGCTACAAGATACTAATCCCCATATTCAAATGAAAATAGAGTACCAACTAGTCAATATCAATAAATATAAAATGAAAAACGTTGAGTATGTAAGCGAAACTCACAAAAACAAATGAAAATGTTCAACGTAATAAATGAAATTAAAAAAGTAGACATACACGATAGTCTGTTTTTGCTATCAAGATAGATAATCTGGTTATTGTATTCTTTCTGTTCCTATTCTATTCAGATGAAACAAATGATAGTTCGAGATGAATCGTAAAAATTGTCGCTAAAATATACAATGGATGAAATGTAAACATGATTGGCTTACAGCGACGCCTTATGTGACTGTACAAATGATTGAAAATTTTGCCTAAAAAAATATAACTTGAGAATTAGTAATGATTCACCAGGGAAAAATAACACGCCCTGTCCTGCCCTGTGCCCTGGTATAGGCGCCCTGCAAGGTGATCAGCACAGGACGAAAAAAAAACTTTGCCCTGTGGGACAGGACAGGATGTTAGGGCAACAGAACAGTCCTGTCCTAATGTCGGTCTCTGATCTGTAATAAATTTGTTTTTATTTCAATTTTTGTTTCGTTCATCACTGTGTACACAGAGACGAGTATGGGTCGCGGTGCTTTCACGCCGCGACGCTGAAAAAAAAAGGTTAGTTACGCGAGAAAAAGCCGTTTTGGGCACTGGATGCGTTGCACTCAGATTAGCCCTAACACATTATTCGAATCAGAATAAATGTCAAGATGTTAGCCTTTAGTTAACATTATATTTAATTCTCACATATGTGCTCAGTGTAGACTTCGAAGAGCTATAGGAAAATGCTATCTGAGATATCCCAAAGAATGACTGAAGTATCGTACGTGATACTCGTAGCATCTTAGATGATACTTCTAGTATGTCAGATGAGAATAGTCTGCATGAGATTCATTATTATAATTTAGAAAAATTTCTGTTTTGAGCTTTTTTGATATATCCGTATGGATGTGCCTTCGAATTATATAAAATTTTGATCTTTTGCTTTTTCGACATGGAAGACGATTTTTTATTTTCGAAATAATAATAAACAATTAGCTCGTCATTTATATTCGAACTCGGATTAGGCAACTTCTGCGAGCTATACAAGATCAAACTCTATAACTTGTTTCATTTAGGAGTTTTTGACGTTTTCTCAAGACTCACGAAATCGGCCAACCAAGTTACCGTAAGTCAGAACAAGGGTAATCAACCATGCTGAGTCGAGTAGTAACATTTATTTTCAGTTTTGAAGTTGTCTAAGACAGCTTCAAAATTGAAAACAAATGCTACTATTCGACTCAGCATGGTCGATTATTCTTGTCTTTATCTATGGTAGCTTGGTTGGCCGATTTTAAAAATCTTGGTAAAATGCCAATAAACTCGAAATGAAACAAGTTATACAGTTCGGACTTGCGTAGCTCAAGAAGGAATAAGTTTCAATAGCTGAACAAGAAAAATATTCTTCTCTTTCTAATGGTGAAAACCGTAGATCTATATCCAAAGTTATTGAAAAATTGATCATTTGCCTTGAAATTTTGGCATTAGTAAAAGAAAATTTTCTTAATAACCTTTTAAATCTTTATCATAATCTGGTTTAATAATATATTCATGATTTCCAATACGATCTAAATCCATTGTTGTTTCAATCATTTCAATATATTTACTAAATATTTCAATCATTCCCTAAAACAAACAAACATGATTATTTTTTTTTTTTGTTAAATTAAATAGAAAAAAAAACAAATGATTTATTTCAATACTTGTAGTGGTTGAATAATAAGATGATTAAGTACATCTTTATTAGGTCCATTAAATTCACTAATATATTCAATTAATTTTGGCATTTTATTAACAGCAACATAAATTTTATAACAATCCTAAAAGAAAATCAAAGGAAAAAAAAAAGAAAAGATATAAAAATTTTTTTTCTTTGTTTTTATACTTCAAGATTTGCTTTTTTTCGAATAAATTTTCGTACAAGACGTTCAAAATCAGGTATACGACCAAGAAAATCTTGTGTAATAAAATTTCGAATACTAGAATCATTTACAAATGCATCAACAATATCCAATCGTTCATCTATCAAAAAAAACACAAAATTTACTTTTATAAAATGAAGATAGATGTGGAAAAACAGAAATCATACTAATTTTTGCCATATCAGTTAATGGTTGTTTTAACCATTGCATAAGTAATCGTTGTCCTTGAGCTGTACGACAATTATTAAGTAAACCATAGAGACTTGAAGATTTTGAATTTGCACCTGAATTATTTTGAATTACTCGATTAGATCAAAAGAAAAAAAGGATCTACTAACTGAAATCTGGTCGTTGTCGACTATCAGGAAAAATATTAAGTGCAATCATAGCTGCTGTATCAAGTCTCATATATAGATCAGGTTGATGTGTTTTTAAATGAAATAGATTTAATTGATTTTTGTCTGCAAGTAACTACAAAAAAAAAAGAAAAAGAAATAATAATAATAAAATTTTCGCAGTGAAAATTTGTTTTCTTTTTTTTTTTTTACTTGAAGAAATTTAATAGCAGCTGATAATGCACATTTAGCATATTCCATTTGCATTTCAGCTAAAGAAGAAAAATATCTTATAAAGTATCAAACAATAATAGAAAAAAAGACACCTACGCATAACACCAACTTTCATTTCAAATTTATCATTATCTTCATCTTTACTTTTAATTAAAAGACGACAAAGATCTTGTTTTATATCTTTTGAAGAGAAATCAACTAAATAATAAAAACATATAAATTATCTTATTATTGTATAATAATATTCATATTTAACCTTTTGGTCGTTCTGTAACAAGTACACCAGATTTTTCAATAACTTTTTTTAATTGTAAATAATTATCTTCTGTTGATGTAAATGTTGGTAATAAACATTCTTTTGGAGCAAGTTGAACAAGAATTGTCTTTTTTTTTGTAAATTGAAAAAAGTTTAAATTTCAATTAAATTTTTATTCTTACTTCTAAATTTGAATAATGATTAGATACAGTTACTTGACATAATTTAATTGTTAACGTATGTACATCGATCAATGCTAAGCCAAGCATCTAAAAATAAAAAAAGAAAACATAAATATAATACGATATTATTTTCTAACAAAATGGAAAATCTACAAATAAAATACTTACAGTAACACCATTCTCTGTTGCTAATTTACATGAAAGTACACCGGATGATTCTTGTGAAGTTGAAGATGATGAAAAAAGTATATCTTCAAATTGAGTTAAATTACCAGGTGATCCCTACATTATTATTATAGACATATATATATATATATCTTGAAGTAATTCAAAAAAAAGGTTGTAATGCACTTCGCCGAAAGACTCGTTTGCTGCTTTAGACCGTTCAAACCGCCTTAATTTTTATACTGGCTTGTTAAGCATGAAGAGGCCAACTCATTTTGCCCACATCCACACCTTTGGAGCGCCCTGCGTGACCAGAAAATGCTTTCGATGAAGTACTTTTCGGCGAAGAGCATATTTATCTGGGGAAAATCATACCTCGAATGATGGATATCAGTAAAGTATTGTTCTGAGACGGCTAACAAATAGTAGTTGCAGAGGAGAATTCAAAAAATGATGATCTCGTCATAATCTTTAGAAAATTATTTTCTTTTAATAAAACTCCAGAAACATTGCAACTTTATCGAAAATCTTTTGATCAACTTATCAGGACTAGTCTGGATCCAAATATTTAGAACCCGATGAGCTCTAGTTGCCTAACGAGGAAACCTCACTAAGTGATTAAAAGCTTTTGAAGTGATATTTTGTCCATAGCTAGAATCTGGTGAGACTAGAAAAACCTCAAAATGATAAGTTTTCATAGACCTTCCTTCCGAAGCTATGACCGATTTATTGGGTTTTCGGCCCATGGCAAGGTATTTAGAAAAAAATCGAATGATGAAATTTTGACCTGAGGTTTTGCTCATATATAGGTCCTATGGTCCTTAGTATGTGCTAAAAGTTTCAATTAAAACGGATCTTTCTTTCTCGAGATAATGAATATAGAAGAAAAATTGTTTTTTTTCTGAGCACATACTAAGTACCATGGGGCCTACATATGGGCAAAACTTCAGATCAAAATTTTGTCATTCGATTTTTTTCTCAATACCTTGCTACGGGTCGAAAATCCAATAAATTGGTCATAAGCTCGGAAGGAAGACCTATAGGGACTTATCCTTTTCAGTTTTTTCTAGTCTCACCAGATCCTAGCTATAGACAAAATATCACTTCAAAAGCTTTTAATCACTTAGTAGAGTTCCCTCGTAAATGTGCAGGGTGTGCTAATCATTGAATAGAAAAATATGGAAAAAAAAGTATCTCGTATCTATTTAATTTCGATAAAAAGATTTCATTGAGAGTATTAAAGTACGGCTCGATCGGGTCTGGAGGGTGTGTGTGTACCACACTTCCTTCTTTCGATCGGGTTATTTCCGTTTATTGAGAAGCTTCAATCGAACTTACATGATATGCTAATGTCCAATCATTCGATGTTTTTTGAGTTTTTTTCCAAATTTCAACACGATATTGTTTAATTAATAAAAGTTTACGAAGAATATCTTCAAATTGTTTATTTGATACATAAATTGTTTCAAGTGGCTTATTTCCATCTTGAAAAACAAGTCAATTATTTTTTTTTTTTGTTTGTTAATTTTTCTCATTTTACCTGATGTTTTCCAATATTTTAATGCATTTGTTGAATGTAATAATTCTCGTGCAATAAAAAGTGCATCATCACCATGACATGTATAATATTCATTACGTTCAAATAATCTTATAGTTACAGCAGTTTTTATTGGTAATTTTTTATATGCTAAATAAAAATCTGTATCAACTGTTGATGTTATTCCATTTGTTGATTCATTCAAAATTTCTTCATTATCAATTTCCATTATGTTTATTTATCTAAAACAATGTTTCGTCTTTTTTTTTTATAAATCAGCTATTCAAATTCTTTTTTATTTTATCAACAAATAAAGAAAACATTAAGAATTCTTTTTTCTTTTTTGTTTTCGCAATGATGATGTTAGTTCATTGTTGATAATTATTATTGAGTTTTGCCAGCAAGTCGTCGATCACGTTCTTCAGCAACTGATAATCGAATACCTTTACCGGCTGGTAGTGATACCCATGATTTTTGTCCACGACCAATAACAAATACATAAGCCAAACTAAAAGAAATTTATATATGTAAATCTGATTTTTTTTTTTTTTGTCAACGGATTTTTTTACCGAGTAGCAAATGTATGTCCATTTGCATCTTTAACATGAACAATATCAAATGAGCCTGGATGACGTTCACGTGATTGAATGATACCAACACGACCTAAATTGTGCCCACCAGTAATCATAACGATATTACCTTAAATAAAAAAAAAATAATAAATTATTTCTTATGCAAAAAAAAAATGAAGTTTTTGTTTTTCATTAAAAATACCTGTATCAAATTTAATCTGTTCTTGAATTTTTCCTGTAGCAATATCAACTTGAACAGTATCATTAGCTTTAATATGTGGATCCGGATAACGAATTGTTCGAGCATCATGTGTTATAATATATGGTACTTTCTTTGGACCCATTCGTACAGATTTAACTTTGCATAATTTATACTAAAGAAAAAAAACAAAAGAAGTAAACAAACTAATGTTGTACAAATATTTTCAATCTTACTTTAGCTTCTTCTGGTGAAATACGATGAACACAAAATCGTCCTTTAACATCATAAATTAAACGAAAATGTTCTCCTGTTTTTTCAATTGTAATAACATCTATAAAAAACATAATCGAATAAACAAAACAAAGAAAATTTTTTTTTTTTCTATTTCATTAAACAAACCCATAAAACCAGCTGGAAATAGAAAATCAGTTCGTACACGACCATCAATTTGTATAAGACGTTGTTTACAAATTTTTCTTGCTTCATTATATGTTAATGCATATTTTAATCGATTACGTAAAAATATAATTAATGGTAAACATTCACGTGTTTTATGTGGACCAGATGATGGTTTTGGTGCAAATACACCACCCAATTTATCAAGCATCCAATGTTTTGGTGCATGAAGTCGTTTTAAATGTTTACGAATACCACGATACTACACAAACAGAAAAAAAATAGATTTTTTACAGAAAATTTTAATAATACATACACCCATATTTTAGTTGTTAAAGTTGATCTACAAAAAAAAAAGAGAAAGAAAGTTAAAAAGTTTTAAAGTAAAGTAACAGTAACAATTTCTTTATATGAAATGAATAAAACAAACCAATCCATGATTTGTAATATTGAATATACCAAATCTCTTGTTTATGAAAATTTTATTTGAAATTATATTACAAAAAAAAAAAAAATTATTTTTTAGAAATATTTCAATAGAAAAACTATAAATTTTAAATGTTAATAGAAAAAGATTTTTTTTTTGTTCTAAATGTATAAATGTGTTATAGAATTCGATATAGAGGTTAATGATAGAAAAAAGATCAAAATGGTTTATTTTTGTTCTTTCCTTTGGTGTTTTTTCTTTTTTTTTTATTGAAAGATCAAATGTCGGGAGGTAGGAAACAAATTTGTCAAAAATATTTTGTTTTTACTTAATTATGAATATTTTTATAGTTGAACTTGATCTTGTTTGTCCAGAAATTGATGTTGATGATTTTTCGTCAGTATCAAGTATGTATTTATTGTTAAAACTTTTTTCAGAGTGAAAGATTCATAGAGTTGGGAATTCCAACGTAATTTCATGATAGAATTTTCAGACAAAAAAAAGATTTTTTTATTTAAGACTATTTGGATATATTTTTTTTTGTATTTATATTCAAAACTTTAATAATTGATCATTTTTTCTTTTCTTGAATATTTATCAACATTTCTAATGAAAATTGTAAACAAAATGTTTTTTTTTTTTTTGTCACGCTTGATTTATACTAGTAGAAAAAATATGTGTGCAATTGTTTCTTAGTCATAAGTAGAATGTATCTCAAATTGAATAATAATAAAGATACTTTTGAATACTGTATTTAAAAAAGCAGAAAGAAAAATTCTACTTTGATAAGCAATATCTATTGATAATAAAAAATAATGATAAGCGAAAAAAGTATTTTTATTTTTCTTCATATAATCGAAGAGAGATTAGTGTATAAAAGACAAAAAAAAATCATTAAATATTCATCTAAACATCTTAAAAACAATATGTTATTTTATTCAGTAAAATTTATTGCATATAATCTATCTTTTATGCAAAGTGCGAAACAGCTTGTATAGTGAGTGTAACAGATGTTCTTTACATTTAATTTCTGCTTGATACACCTATTATTAGAAAAAATTTTCATTTAATTAATAAAACAAAAAAAAAAAGTTAATTTCATTCATTATTTTAAGAATCCAATCAACCTGAAAATACCTTCGTTGAAGAAGATCAAGTAAGATAAAGACAAAAAAAAAAACCAAATTTTCTCATGTCCTTAAAAATACTATCACTTAGATATTGGAACATAGTGATGAAATAACACATGTCGTCAATAACCTTGAAACTCAAATATCAAATGAAAATATTCTTACAACAACCAATCATTGTCCTAATGGTAAATATCGATATTTTAATCACATATATATATATGTATATGAGAAAAGATTTGAATTTGAAAGTAAAAAAATCCTGAATTTACTATTGCAAAAAGAACATAAACAATAGTGTGTAAAATAATTATTGTCACTTTACATTTCGCAGTAAAACTTTTAACTCAAAAATAACTTCACCATGAGATACATCAACTACGAAAGTCACTTCTTCTTTCGATATGTGTATTACTCATATGATTCAAATCGACAGCGTATAGAAAAGAATTTATCGAATTTACCTATCCGATTTGATAGATAATTTTAATTTATGTTGATGTAATTTTTATTATTTTAAAATAGAAGAATCTATTGATTCACAACCGAGAATAATACAAGAAAATGAACAATATAAATCAACATCAATGAATGTTATACAAACTCCAAGTGAAGTACAAACAATATCAATTAATGGTAAAATAAATAAAATAATAATAATATTTATATATAATATTCTTTTTTTAGATGAAAAAGAAACTAATGCTTTACAAAATATATTTAATGATACTGTTTATTTTTTAATTAAAAGTGGAAATGAAGAAAATGTTTCATTAGCTAAAGCTAAAGTAAATAAATTAATAAAAAAATTTTTTTAATATAATTTTTATATTTTTTTAAGGGTGTATGGTCAACACCACCTGCAAATGAAAATAAACTTAATCGAGCATTTCGAGTATAAAAATAAAAAAAGCAAAAATTCAAAAATTTGTTTAACATATTTTCTTTTTTTTTTGTTTTTAGCAACGTCGAAATGTTATTTTAATTTTTTCAGTTGCTGAAAGTAAAGCATTTCAAGGTTTTGCACGTATGTCATGTGAAGCTCGTCATGATAGTCAACCAATTAATTGGGTATTACCACCTGGCATGAGCAATCGAGCTTTTTCTGGTGTTATTTATATTGATTGGGTCTCTCGGTTAGTAAAATTCACACATGAAGGGAAATTACTATTTTTAATGAAGATGTGTATTTCAAGTTAGATATCTCATAGTAAAAATTTTAGCTTCATACATTAAGAATTTACTTAAGGATTACAGATCAAAATTAACATTTTCTGAGGAAGACAAAAATTTGATGTCGATAAAAACCAACTATTTGTTTTTTTTTGTTTTAGACGAAGTTTACCATTTAATCAAACTCTACATTTATTTAATTCATGGAATGAAAATAAACCTGTTAAAATTGGACGAGATGGACAAGTATATTTTATATGATTTATTTATTTATGCTATATTATTTTTTAATTTTCTATATATATGTATATATATATTATTTAGGAAATTGAACCACGTTGTGCTGAAGCTTTATGTCGTTTATTTCCATCTGATCCAACAATTGATATTATATCAATATCAAGAAAAGCCGATAAACATAAATTATCACGATCACCATTAACAATAAATCCAACAGAAGATATAAATCATCGTTCATCTACATCTGTTGATCGTCATAGGTCAGATGTGACTCTTTATTTAATAATTAATCGTCTTACAAATTTGGCTACTAATTTAATTCAGTACAGAACTTTTAAAAAAGGTGTTGGTTAATAGAGGGATATTTTCTTTTTTGCAAATTATCGTTGGTTACAAATATTACAATCAAAAAAAAAAACAAGATATCAAGACGGATTTATATATATAAATGATGAACATGAAGAAAAAAGAAAAAAAAAGAATACATCAAAGAACTTTAATATATTTATTAGAGACTATAATATATATATATATATTTGTTTTATTTTCAAACAAATGTTTATTTTTTTTGTTTTAGCAAAAAACTTGAGAACTCGAATTATAAGAAAAAAAAAAATTTCGAGTCTCTTTATCTTACATATAATAAAATACATTATGATTCGTGATATCTCTTAATCTTAATTTAGACGTCATCGATCAAGAAGTCGAGAACATAACAGTAAAGAACCACATCGTAAACGACGACATCGATCACGTATGTTTATTAACATTGTACTTACAAGCGGATATCTTTTAACACGATCTAAAAAGAAAGATTGAAGTATAGGGGTACAGAATTTTCGAATCCGAACTCTATTCTCTAGACATTTACATTATACGATCACATCTATAACCTTCTATTCTGGCGACCGGGAGGAGCAGTTCTTTTCATTTTTGAAGAAATTGAATATACTACTAGTTATTTTTTTTTTTTTGTTCTTTTAATTTATTTGTTATTAGCATCAGCACATTCGGATCATGGTAATAAACGTAGTCCAAATCGAAAACATTCACATCGTAGTAATGGTGATCCACCATTACCTAATAATCTCGATAAAAGAATGTCACATATAATGGCTAATGGAGTAAGATTAAATGCAAATGTTTTTTTTTTCTTTTTGTTCATGTTATCTTTCGTCATATTTAGACATATGAAGATTATGTAAAATATATGCTTGAAACTCAAACACCATATACTGGATATACACCAACTATGTTTCCATCGACGGTAGTATTTCAAAGATTATATTTCATTTAATGTTCATTTTGTTTTTTGATCTATTTAGACCTATCCAATGGTTTATGATCCAACTGGTCTTTATACAATGGGATATGATTCACATAGTATACATAGTGGAGTTTATAATAATGATCCAATGAATATGTATTTACCTCAGCCACCATCATCATCATCATCCATATCTCAAAATCCAACTGAAGTAAATTATGATTATTCTTTTTTCATTATTTTATTTTTTGTTAATTAGTACGAACAAGAAATAAATGCATTTCTTCGTCATACAACATCATCATCACATAAAGAAAATGATAATGGAAATAGATCACATCGAAATCATCATTATCATCATCATCATAATTATCAATCATCATCTCGGCATCGTTCAAAATCTCGTGAATATCGTCATTAGAACATAAAGAATATCTATGTTACACTTTTTTTTTCTTCGTGTCTTGTTTTCTTTTTTTTCTTTTTTGAATGTGTATTCTGTGATATAGAGAAAATTTATCTAATAAAAAAAAAAATTAAAACAAGAAGCACTGACTTTTTTGTGTGAAATGATATTTTAAAAATATATAGAATATATATATACATATGTATTGTCCTTAAACTTAAAGTTAATCATATAAAACAAGGATTTATTTAAATAAGATTGTGTAGGAGAACAATTTGAATATTGTTCTTTGAATCAAACAAAACCATATATTTTACAAAAAAAAAAAAAAGATACCCTGTAGACTATTACATCATTACGATTAATTTACTTGTCTATTCCTTTTATTCAAAAAATCATCTGTTATTATTTGTGTACATTGTCATCGTTTAAAAAGAAAAAGAAATAGATTAGCTCATATTTAGGAAGGAATTAGATGACAAGAAAAAATGCAGATAGACTCTATTTGTAATTTTGTCGTTGTCGTTCGTATGCATACACACACATATATATATACATATACTATACGGCTCGTACACAGAATGAAACCTTTTCCTCTCTTTTTCACATATAATAAGAAATGTTGGTGATGCAGATGTGCTCTTTTGTCATCATCATCATCATCATATTTGACATCTCATTCGAACGAATACAAGAATAGTAAAAAGAAAAAGGTAATTTTGTTATTCGATTTCAACAGTGAACACTTAAAGTCATAGTTTTATTATTTGATTTTTGTTAAATTTCTATATCAAATTTCGTGTATACTCTCGAGAGTGTCTCAATGTCAAACCGATCATTCTTTAGTCTAGAACAAAAAAAATATGTCATATGATGTTTCGTTTCTATTTTGTAATTATAATAAAACATTGAAGAAAGATATTCATTGTCATGCGAAAATTTTTGAATAGGTAATATAAATATAAACAGATATTATAGGTTAATAATAATTAATTTCTCATAACGGGAATAAAAAGAAATAGATTTTGTTTTTACCGTTCTTTATCGTGTCATCTTAAAAATGTGTAAAAATGGATGATCATGTACTTATAATAAATCACATAACATATCACGGTCGCCCGTCGCCGTTACCTTTATTTATCTTTCTTCATTGTCCTGATTTTTTCATTTTCTTTATTCATATCTTGTATGCTTGAATATTGTTCATATACACACACACACACACACACATATATACTCAATCGAACATCATCAGTCCAACTGCAATAACTAATATACATAAATATTTTTCTACATCAAATTTGTGACGGTCATCGGTATTTTATTTTTTATTTCAATTTAAATTTTACCCTTATTCAAAATCAACAACGACGACATCGCCAAAAAAAAACATACTTCAGTACCTTTTCTTTTTTTTTTTCGTCGTTTTTTTCCTCTTTCATTCGTACCAATACGCATGTATGTTTATTGAACTTGCCACTTTTTTTTTTCATGTGTAAAGAAATGCATTCGATTAAAATCAACAACAACCATTAAATCAAAATAATGATAACTATAGTAATTAATAATGATGATGTTTATAAAAATGAAAATATTGAATTAATACATTTTATCTATTATTTAATTGTTTACTTTATATTAGAAGTCACTTTTATAATTACCGTATGTATATAACAAAGAAAGGACTATAATTAGAAGAAGAAGAAGAAGAAAAAAACTATACAAGGTTATTTCTTTTTCAATTAGTTGTTTTTGTACGTATATTTTGACGAGAACCAAGACACATGACAACGTCTGTTTCTGTGCGCATATATATATATATAGATGTGTTCTTCTTCAAGTTATTCATATTAGTCCTATTCTTTATCTGGTTTTTTTTCGATACTATGCAAACGAGAACGCAAATATACGTAGATGTTTTTGGTTGGTGTCATTGTCGTCATCGTCAATGTTTAGTAGTAGTAGCGAAAACCTATCGACAAGCAATAGACACACATACACGCATACATATAGCAAAAAAGGAGGAAAGGGGGCATACAGAGAGAGAGAGAAAAAAAACGCAAGACTACTCTCTAACATTAGACGACAGAACGAATGTTATATACACGTTTAGGATCCAGCAACAGGTGAGTATGACGATCTTGAAGGACGATGACAACATTACTACCTTCTCAACATCATCATCAATGACAAAAAAAATTATATATTTATATGTTTAATTTTTTTTGCTCACTTTTACATACGACGACAAATATTCATCTTAATAATAGTTAATAAATGCTATTATTTATTTAACGAGAATATATACTATGCAATTTTATACATATTCATATTCTACTAGTGGTTATCCGTCTGGTGAAATTTCTTTTTATTCTCAGGTACACACACAAAAAAAAAAAACCTAAATTTAAAACATCCTTAAAAATAATTAACTTACCTTTATGAATCAGATAAGACAACGTAATATAAATTCATGGTCATTTTTTTTCTCTCTCGTTGATGAGTATAAGTGAATGTTTTGCATTTACTAATATTCTTTTTTTTCTTCACTGTAAAATATAGGCCTTTCTCAATGTTCAACAATTACAAACGATTTCAACGACAGTTGACAACAGTATGAATTTAATGGGTCGATTAATTGATAAAACAAAACGTATGAATGTCACACGAACAACAACAACAAATGAAAAACCTCAACAATCTATATTACCAATCCGTATACTTGAACTTGAGGCTAAAATTGAAAATCGTCCAACTATAATAGATGAAAAAAGTTCAGCTGTTTTAAAATATCGAACACCACATTTTCGGTATATAAAACCAAAAATAAAATAAAAAAAAAAACAGTCAAATTTAATTTTCTGTTTTTTTTTTTGGAAATTTTTAGTTCTACAGCTACTATTCAATTTCCTCCATTAGATGAAGGTGAACATTGGAAAATTGGTTGGATACAATCATGTACACGTATGGATTTTTTAAATTCATATGGTGATTGGGGTTATTCAAGTTGGGAATTTCCTCAATTAGTATCTGGTCAAAATCCAATGATATCAGATTCTGATGGACGTAATTATCCATTTTATGGTTCAAAATGTGAAGTAATTGAACTTCATGGACCATTTTTAGATTATCAAACGATAAAAGTTCTTATGAATGATAATTTTTATCCACATATAACATGGGATATTCCAACAAGTAATGAACGTTTATCACGTTTAACAAATGTAAAACGTCATCAAAATTTTTATACATGGCTTGTTGCAATGAATGTTAAAACCGGTTCAATAATTGTACTTAAAACAATAAGTTGGCAAATGAATCTTGAAATAAATATCGACTCAACTAAATCACAAGGTTCACGTGCAACACTTATATCTGATCCAATACCAATTCAACCTGAAATTCTCAAACAAAATATACGTATACCAACTTGTGTACTCTATCCTCCAAATGTAAATTTTATTAATAACTTGTTCATATTTATTTGTCATCGTTTTGTTTCTTTCTTTTCCTCCAGGCTAATAACGCACAAATTCTTGTTTGGCATCCAGGTTGTCGTGTTGGTGAAGTTAGTAAACGACCTGAAATTGTCGTACTACCACGATGTATGTTTGTTTTACATCAAAATCCATATTATAATCATTATATTCGACATAAAACGCATACATCTATTCAAAATAAACTTAATGGTGGAAGTTCATCATCATCATCATCATCTGATACTAAAAGCAATGCTTCACAATCGACAAAAACTAAACCTTTTTGTCGTCTTATATTTCCTCCTTCTTCTCCACCAAATTCATCTTCAATACCTGGAAATCGTTGTTGTGATGATATGAAACATATTCTTGACGATCATGCTAGATTGGCTCAAGGTGTTATAGTTCGATAGTTAAAAAATTAGATTTTTCTTTCTTTCGTTCTTTTTTTTAAATTTTATTTTCATTCTTTTTCTTTTGTGAATTGTTATCTATTGAAAAATACAGTGAGAGTTGAAGATAAGATGTCATGTAGGTGATGATTTTCTTCAATTGAAATTCTATTCATGAAGAAAACCTGTGGTACGAAATGTTTTTCATTCATTCTTTTAAATAAATATGTTTTTTTTTGTAGTTATTAAAAAACAAACAAAACATTCGTCATTTATGTGAAATGTAAATTTTAGATTAAAATAAGAAATTAAAAACTTTATAGTAAAGTCTAAAAACTGAAATTTACTTGTATTCGTCTGTCTGTAACATGATTATATAATGATCAGCTAGTTTTAACTTTAATCTTTAGTTTCAATTGAGATCACTTTTTCTTCATAGTCTCAGTCATTGAGAAAGGGACTAAAAATTGCTCCTACACATTTCTTTTCATAATATCTAATGCAAACTTTTTGTTTTTTCCATCTAGGATGTTTTCCCTTCATTGACTAACAATATGAATACCCGATCAATAACTGCAAACTACTAATGCCTATTCCAAAAGAGAAGGGCAGGCGGATACTTTTTTGAATAACTATTGATAGGAAAAGAGGAGATGAAATTGCATAAAATTATATATTATAGGTGTTTTCTGACGTCTTTTTTATTCAACTTTCTAAAAAGAAGTATCGGAACAATGGTTGCTTATAGAATAAAAAGAAAAGCAAAAACAAAAATGATTTTTTTTGTAACAGTTGCATGAAAAATTGGTTGCGAGTTTTGAGTAGAATACCTATAATCTCTGAAGAATTAAATGTAAAAATCTGAGACGATCTTTGATAGGCGGTTCGAATGCATATCTGATAATTGAAAACTTACTGCAGTCACCTCATACGATACTTTAGTTTTTGAAAAAGGTAGATTAAAAATCTTCAAAAAGACTAGATCGAACAATCTATAACATACGATTTGATGTGCCTTTATCTCCTCTTTCTAAAGATGAAAACTGTAGCTCTCTATATTGTTTTATTCCGTCAATCTAGGATCCAGTGAATCGACTGTTGATGAACGTTACTTTTCGAGTAAATCTGAATTCAAAAATCTGCACTGATAACGATAATTGCATTCGGCGACATGCTTATTGATTACTGCTAAATAAAAATATGAATAGAAAAATGAACTGGAAATATCGAAGCACCAGAGGTTTTAATCAAAAATAAAAAAACATTTCGACTTTTACTGTCATTTCTTGTAGTTCTTGAATTCATTAATATTTTTCACTTACACGTCTATCTACATAATAAAATAGATAGAACTAAATTACAACTATTTTCTTGGCAGTATCTAAATTCAGTTGTTCTGAACTCTTGAAGATTTTGGAACTCAAAAATCAATCAGAAAGAGAGCAATGATAAATGAAAACCAAACGGAACTCAATAAATACGGGAACTCTGGGAGTGTGCGTGTAAGTTAAGAAGAGATATCTACTCAAACACACCCATACCCCACCCTTATTTAATGATGTTGTTGAGTGTAGACGTGGGATGCAAGTTAGGAACCGAATCAGCAAACCGGTCTGGTTAAACTTTTAGCGCCTACTGGTTTTCACTGTTTTCTCTTGGCAGTTTCTTTATCAGTGTTTAGGACACTGAAGCTAGTCTACTTTGCTCGTTTCTATTGGTTTTCACGGTTTTAGCAGACCAGAAACATGGGCGCAAAAGTTTTTAATCGACAAATTTCTTGTCGTCATGAAAATCGCAGCTCCAAATTTTGAATTCACGCTCTCATAGTAAAATAAGAGCCTCGGATCATGTTGAATATATTGATTATAATTACGCAAATTTAGGCAGCCATTACAAAGAAACTCTCAATTGCCAGTAGTTCCAGTTCATATGTTCGACACATAAATGTTGTAAAAGATTTTGTTCTGGTGTGGAGATTTTGCCAACTTCATGTAACTGTAACAAGATCCGGATATTAAGAAAACTAAAAATATGGAGTCTAATATATAAATCGAATTTTGCAGCTTATTAGATGGTACTCAATATCACTTGTTTCTGAGTTATTAGATGAAAAAGTTTTGAAAATGTTCTCTCTTCATTCTTAGTTTTAGCATATACGGAACGCGATGGACTAAATAGAAGCTGTTACGATTATAAACTCGAATAGTTATATGAGTTTCGCATTATATTTGTTCATGGAGCATTTAAACGTACCGGTTTTCTGCCGATTACGCCTAGAATTTCAACGAGTCGGGCCAGTCTGGCAAAAAAAATTGATCAGTTCCAAGCCTGAGGGGATCTGGGAGTGGATGCTTGGTGAGGAAAAGACCTTCACTCTAGAGACTTGTATCAGACGCTGAAAACTGACTCTGACCCGGTCAGAATTGGAGTGATCGTGAAGAATCTTTTGCGAAGTCAATGTTTGAGTTACATTAGTGGAATAGTGAAATATATTTACCCTTACATAGTGACAAGCTTATTTTTCATGTGCTAAATAATTAACAAAAATACACTATTTTATAGGCTTATAAATAAGCTTCACGAAAAAAAAACATTAGAGAGACATTTTCATTAACAAATAGCGCAAAAAGCAGTATATATGGTAGTCAAAAAAAAAATTAAAAAGTGTGACTCAACAGGGCTCCAATCCTCATCATTACGCCCCATCCACACTTTAATATTTTCATGTAATTTAAAGTAGGGTGTCCCAAAAGTTTCGACCCCTTTCAGTAAATTGATGTCATCTATGACAAATCTATATATAGGCATAGATCAAAATATGTCATTTTGTAGAGACGATTGAGAGCTACTTAGGGCGTACCAAAAGTTCGTGTCTCGACGTTGCTTACCATATAGTAAGCTTTAAGAAACTTTTTTTCTATATGGTCTGATAGAGAAAAGAATGTTCTATTTTTCTATGCTATTTGATCATAGTTCAACTAATATCGTGATAATAAATTTTCGATAAGACTTTATTTTTGTTGTCATTTGTGCTCTAGTAAGATCCGCATTGCAGTATCCAATCCCTTGATACGTTGTATTGACCACTAAAATATACTATAAGATGCAGCGTGAAAAGCTCTACAATTTACGTAAGACCGCTTATTTTATAGTTTCACTTTTCGCTTTCAAAATGGACACAATTTTGGGCTATCGAATTTCGACTATGCCAAATTGATAATTTTTTGATACATGGCGACTTCATTTTTTGTTCTTTCATCATTTCGTCACCTGATATGCTTTTATTAAAAGAAAACAAAATACACCACAAGATGCAGCGCGAAAAGTTCTACAATCTTCATAGTAAAGCTTATTATAATTGTTTTCAAAGGAAGGAAAATTTTGTGCAACCAATCTTTGCAATGCCCAGAATTTGGCATATCAAAGCTTTGTTTATTTTCAAAGCACAAAGGGCAACTTTAAAGTAAGTGGTCTTATGTAAATTGTAGAGCCTTTCACGCTGCATCTTATGGTATATTTTAGTGGTCAATACAACGTATCAAGGGATTGGATGCTGCAATGCGGATCTTACTAGAGCACAAATGACAACAAAAATAAAGTCTTATCGAAAATTTATTATCATGATATTAGTTGAACTATGATCAAATAGCATAGAAAAATAGAACATTCTTTTCTCTATCAGACCATATAGAAAAAAGTTTCTTAAAGCTTACTATATGGTAAGCAACGTCGAGACACGAACTTTTGGTTCGCCCTAAGTATGAGTCCAAAATAGAAAGGCATACCCGTTTTCCAAGAATGCTACAAAAGCAAACTCATTTTCTCATAAACAATGCTTCTACAACCTGTTTTTTCAATTGAAATGATTAAGAGAAGAAATATCACCGTTGACGAAATAAAAATTGTTTCCGGAAAAATTTTGTGTAACTAGGAGAATGAGCATCAGAAAATTTTGTATACGTGTACAATCAGCAGAGATCTTCAAGAGCTATCTATTAGTAAGTTGTGTTTTCAAAACAAAGTATTTATTTGTAAAGAAAAAAAGCTCTCAGCACAATCCCTATGGGATTAAAATGTGAGACACGAATATAGCTGTTATTATTAGTCACCGGAATATTGTTTAATTCGATCTATCTGTAGATCCATTTTTCGTCAACTTTTACTTAATTCTCTGGAACTCAAAAAAGAAGCAGTTTATATACATTCACGAGAGGTTAGTGATATAAAATTGGTAATCATGTATCAAAAACATCTATCACGGTCTGTGATGATCTCTCGAACCCGTCTGTCATGGTCTGTAAGAAATCTGAAGAGCGTCTGTGATGGATGTGGGGTCCGTTTGTTACGGTCTGTGGAGAGCGGAAGGTCAAATTTCTACCCTATATATCTCAACACTCCTTTTAGATCGTGTTTCACAAAATAAAGTAGAAAAACTAATGTATTCGAAGTAGATTTAGTTCATACAATCACTCTGCGTAGCTATGAAAGCGTCTAGTTGTTTTGTTTTAAATTAAGGTTAACAGAAATTTGCGGAGACTTTGATGTGGCATTTTTTGAAAAAGATTCAAGGACCTATCATTGATCTGTGCTCAAATGTAGAGAAAATAAAGAAGCGTTCAACCATTCTGTAACACCCGATACATGATCTCGAAAAATTCTGACAAACAAACCAATATAGCATTATTGCTTACCTCTGACATTAAGTTTTTTTCAGTAGTCTCGTATGAAAAGTGATTTAGCACTGTGAATCGGACGATAGTGCCAAACGGTAGGATACTTGCGCATCCTAACAAGTTCTTAGTCATGTACACGATTGAATAGTATATGTATGAATCGATATTATATATGAATAACTCTAAAGCCTACCTAATCCTCTGTTTCTATTTAAAAAAACGTTCATGGGTCTTCTAATCTAATGCAAACCGACGAGCAATGCGCATGTGCTTTTGGGAAAAGTCTAGATCTGAACCCGAAGTATTTTTTTTCAAAACTGCAGCTGATTAATAAGTTATTGTTTTCAC